GTCGGGGATGGCGTGCTTGGTTATAAAAATACCCGTCTAATCACAGCTTAGTGTTTAATACTCAAGTGATGTTATGTCTGTTGCTCTGTTTATGCATTGTTTGAGTGTTACCTCAGGCGCTATGTAGTCCGGTGTCCCACAGAAGGTGGTGGTGGTGACTCCATTGAGAATTCCCTCCTTGCACATCCCAAAGTCTGCCAGCTTACAGTGACCCTCAGCATCCAACAGTATATTGTCCAGCTTCAAGTCTCTGCAGAGCGGAGAGGTTGTACGGATAAATAATGACAGACTTCTGTGTTGTATAGCTACAGCGTGTTTCCATATTCAGAAAGATCAGTCAAATATAGGCATAGGAAAAGCTTTTCAGGAACAGGGGAAGAAAATATTCATTTGGAATGACTCGGAAAGCAAACATGTTAGTTAAAGCTACAGTTATATCATGCACTTTATTTCACACAAGTGTATATTTGAGAAGTCAAAGATATAGCCACAGTTTTAGTCATAAAAAAATACAGGGAACGGCAGGAGGACAGGGGGCAAAGAGAGAAAGTTAAGGGTTGAACAGGAGGAGCACGTAAAGGCGAAAGAGAGAAAATGAGAGAGTCAAAGAGATAAGAGCAGCAGTGTTGAAAGATGACAAGGTTGGTCATGAATGCAGCCACTCTGGGCTTGATGGTTGATCGCTACAAAAATGTCAACATGTCCTCGATGCAGCCACTGCAGCCATTCAGCCCGAGGTGTTTTCATAAATACAGTCGCCCCGACAAGCCAAAAAGGAGACGGAGCGTGCGTGCTTCAGGTCGAGAGCTTATGCAAGCGTTCTGTTTTTTTAAGCCCCAAAAATAAAAAAGGGAGTTGCACAATCCCGTGCTGTTGAAAGGTTTTTTCTTTTCTGTCCCACCGTGTTTTTGTCTGATGGAGCGTTAAAAAAGAAAACCCTACGAAAAATTCAGATATGCTAAAAATGTCTATCTGGTTCCTGTCCGTTATGTTTCATAACTACACTTATATCATTTTTTGTCATGTGATGTATTTCGCAGTAATCTAACAGGTCCGAGCAGTTAGGAGATGCATCTGGATCTCGTGCAAAGTTAAGCCGCGAATGCTATGCTAATGGGAAAACTAGCGTGACATGTTAGATGCAGCAAAGCCTGACAGCTGGGTTTGACCACGTTTTTGCATAACAGACTTGGAGTCAGGCTCAGGTCACAAAAAATACTGAACATTTTCGTGCTTTTTTTCAAGTTGGAGTGATTTTCAATTGAGGAGGGGAATGTAGTGCACGAGAAGATGATGTTTAATGTTGCGCTGTTTTCACATTCATTCGGTGATTAACCCTTTAAGACCTACCATAGAACCAAGTCCGCCAGAGCTTATATTATATTTTTACATGCTGTGGAGCGATTTTTGGGAGCATTTCAAGTTGTTATACATCAATACAACCATTATAGCCCAGATTTTAATAATATGTCTGCATTAAGTGCATAGTAATTACATAAATTGCAAAAAAGTGCAATAAACTACAAAAAAATTGAAAATCGTTTTTGTTTTTTTAACATATATTTCTAGTTAGAGAAATTTAAGAGGCTTATCCTTCAAAACTGTAAATACAAAAAAGTTGCACAAAATAGTTTCCCACCACAGGAAATTTATTTTGAGTGTCTTCATAGTTTTATTTTTGAAATACACCAATTTTTATATACTGCAGGAAAAACGAAAATAAATTTTATACTGCAAATTTGCAAAAAAGCAGCATATGCATCAAAATAAACTATTTCCAGCAGTGCAATATGAGTCCTAAGCATCCCAGAAACGACACAGAAAGTCATAAAGTCAAAGATAACTTTTAAAAACACCAGTATAGGCTCATGAGGCCTTGATGGTAAAAAACTACATTTCCGCGACGTAGGAAGTGTTACAAACAGCTGATTGGATCGGCAAAGCGTGTTTTTGGAATATTATGTTTTTGTTGCTGCAAGTGCTTTTTATGCAGTTTTTGCAAAGCTATATGTGGAAGGAAACTGTGACCGAGGACAAGCTGATGGCATAAGATGTAAGTACAACTCCTCCGGTTTCATATGCAAAAAAAATTATTGCGCTAGCTTATGTGGTTGCAGAGCTACCGGGATTTAAAAATAGTTACGCAAAACGGAGCGGGCCCGCTCCGACCGGTTTTAAAGGGTTAAAGAACATTCAGCTTCGTCTGCCAAGAAATCTATTTTTTTGTGGTTTTTGTTGTTGATGAATGTTTGCTTTCATTTCTCTGAAAACCACTGGAAACCCTAAACTCTCATCAATCCGAGCTGAGCTGCCCAGAACAACCGTGGTTTTGTCCCGCCGAAGAGCTGGACGCTGTGCCTTGCCAAAAGGCACACTGGCACAGCAAAGAGCAGCGCTTGTTCTGTACTTTCCCAGATGAAAAATTACAACTGCGACCCTCCCGGCTGCCTGTTTGCATATCTCACCCCAAGGCGACTCCCTGCACATTAATTCTGCGCTGCCTGTGGAAAGGTACAAAAATCACATATGAATTTAATGCGTTTTTGATTGAATTTAAATGCCCGCTGACGTTAATCTTTGTATTACACATCACCTCGGTGCAGGAAATTCAATATTAAGTGGCTGCAGGTGTTCAGCGGCACTAATGGAATGATATTTATTAATGTGAAAATGCTTTGTGGGCTCAGAAGTGGGTGTAAACAAGAGCTAATAATCTATGTTGCAAACCAGAAAACAGACAAAATTTATATAATCTTTGTGAGTATGGTTATATCTTTAATTAATATACTGCAGATTAAGAATCCGTTTTCATCATCAAACTTTGATTCTCTGCACAAATCTTCACTGCTATTATCACAAGTGATGAAGTCTTTCTGTTAATAATTGGTAGGATTATGGTAGGATGCACGGCAGCCTGGATCAGAATGAAAAAATAAAAAGGTCTCTGGGCTTTGAACCAACTTCTTTATTAAGATTAACGATCAGTAGAGCCCATAAATGTATTAGTTTTTTATTTGCAGGAACAACTTTCAATAGAGATTTCACATTAACATGTCTTTATTACTTTACTAATAAATGCTATGGTTTGCTCGTTTCATTCGTACAGTGTGCTCCTTAATATCAAGTCTGAAAAACATGTTCGTTGTGTTCAAGCAACACAATAATCAAAACCATAAAGCATTATTAACTTATGTCATAAAGATTCAGGATCAAAAGTTGCAGTATCAGAGTCCAACATTCAGTTAATGCTTAAGTACCATGGCTTGTATTTCAGTCTTTTAGTAAGTCCAATGAAAGCAAATGATAAAATGTGTCATCAGTAGATGGTCAGGGTGCACGAGATATACAAATCTAATTGTTTGAGTTTCGCAGCTTCAAAGTCGATTGAATCAAATGGTGCGGAAGGTGGGGAGGGGGTCAGTGCATGCAAGGTAGTAATCTGGTGGGTAAAAAAAAGCATAAAGCCAAGACACAAGTGTAAAACACTACAGCTACTCAAACGGACAGAGATTGTGTCTAATGTCTCCAAAAAACAAACAAACAAACAAAAAAAAACCTCATGATGTGATATTATAGTATATAGTATATCAGAAATCTGTTCACAATTTTTATTACAAATTATATCAGTAAGGAAGCTGACTAAATATTAACTGATAATTTATGGCAAAGGGGTGGGATTAAATAAGTGTTTACTTCTTCCCTTTCAACATGTAAATTAATCAGAACATTTTTTTTGTATGTAATTTGTACAGTATTTTTTTCTTTCTTATTTTCTTTTCTAAATGTACTTGTATATTGTTCACATGTTGAAATAAATTACCAATCAATCAATCAATCAATCAATCCAATCTCCAAAGCTCCATATTGAAGCAAATATAAATGTGTTTACAGACATTTAAGTTGCATTGCGACTTAAAGTTATACATCTTTAGAAATAAGGTTGCTCCATATCACACTGCCCAATGACAGAAATACAAAGCAGGACCAACATGTAAGCCGCCAATGATGATTCAATAAAAAGAGAAGGTAAAAAGGGACCTACATGAAGGTTCAATATTAACGTTTTTGTATTCAGGTACCTCTTTCTGTTTGATAATATGCATTCAGTGCACTTGTCCACATCTGGTTACTCCTGGATCCAAAAATCAACATCTATGATATCATCCCTTTGCAAACTCTGAGGTCCATAAACAAAATTCTTACTTTAGGCAGCAGGTGAGCTTTTACTCAAATTTTCAAATACAAACTATTATTTATCATATTTATTTATTTATTCATTTCGTGCTGGCACTAGCAGAATAAAGCATTACGAAAAACTGAAATTTTACTTCATAGAATCTCCTGGGATGGAATTTTGTAGAAAATTGTATCTTATTGTATCCAAATCAGTATCAAGTCATTTTCTTTCTGCAGGGAATTCACTGCTGTAATTTCTTTTAGAGGAGCTGTAATAATGCTCAAAAAACAGGAGCTGCTCTGCTCACACTGTCAGGAGCTCTATTTGGAGTTCACACACACACACACACACACACACTCACGCACGCACACACACACAAGGCAATCAGGCCCAATTGAGAGCATTTCCTGTGTTTCATGGTAATCTTGAGTGATTTTTCCATTACGTCCCCAGCGGCAGGGCCTATGCTCTGTGACAGCTAACCCTTCTCTCCCAACTCTCTAACCCCCATCCCTCCATCTCCTCATCTGTGTGACTATATGTTCCAAACACACATCTGGTCAAACATACAAACACACACAGACTGTTGCCACTGTATATTTTCTCTTTGTGGAATCACTGCATGAGAGGCACATCAGGCTGGGAGGATATTAAAGTCAATAAACTTGAGGATTCATTTGAAAAACTATAATATTGATGTCAGCGAGTATGAATATTAGGTTTTGCAACTATACTTTAAATAAGCAACAATGCCATATGTGACAGAGTAGCACTCAAATACTAAAATAAGTTAGATATTAAGGATGGAGTTTTATTACTTTTAAGCAGAATTTAAAACAAATTCTTCATAAGAAATAAAAAACCCCTTATCTAATTACCTATTATAAAAGAAAACAACTTACCTAATTTCAGTTACTACTACTGCTTATTTTTTTTGGATTCCTCTCAGATAGTCATATCTTTACCACTTGTTTTTGTGCGTGTGCAATAATCGCTACTAGTAAAAGATCTGGGTCTTGAGGTTTGACCCAGACACCCAACAGCAGAGTTCAAAACAAGATTTTGTGATGACC